TCTCGGACAAACAATAGCCAGGCCATTAGCTAAAGAGCATAGTTACTTTAAATAATTATGTATGAAGCCTCTGCCTATTTTCCAACGCGATGCATTCTCTTTCAGATACGCGTTTGTATAACCAGTTGTCTTGTGCATTTCGATAATAAATACTGCAGAATATTAATACTTTACATTACAATCGTGTAAAAATTAATTCTTGGATATTTATAAGCATTTTAATATCGTAGTATTTTGAATTAATATAATATTACAAAATTAGATACTATAGTATTAGTTATATAAAAGTTAACCTGCAAGATGAAAGCTAAATTCCTACTTCAGTTTCAAATTATTTCCTGCTAAATTTATAACGTCGAACTCCGTATGATCCGTATGATGAGATAAGCATCGGTTTCATAAAACGTTTCTCTCAGGCTCAGTTCAGTTTCACCCCTTTATTACCACGAACACCATTGGTCGAAATGGTGTTGGTAAGAAACTCTTCGCAGCCTAAATTCCTTATTCCAGCTTCCAGGCAAGAATATCGAATATCCTCGCGGCCTGTGATAAAAGAAAACGCCAGCTCGGGTACCGTATTCTCCTTTAAAGGTAATTACGCAATTAACAGGCGAAACGGTATCCCCCGGTGGCACTACAGGGAATGACTGTACAAAAATCCTAACGGCATCCAAACACCGTGGCCATTAACGAGCAGAGACCGATACTGTCCCCGGGAAAAAAAAAAGTGAAACTCATTAAAATTAGACTCGGCTGGATCGCCGGCTAGATCGCGGCTAGGCGCTCGAGCAACGCCAATTTCGATTTATCGTGAAGGCGAGTGGCACGATCGTCGGGGCAGCAGCAGCAGCCTCTCGTTCCTGCCTCTATCTCGCGTCTAATCCGCGATGCGTCAGCGGACACGGAGTTTCCATTAGCTCCACTAGCTCCAGTAGCTCGCCAGTCGTAAGCAACAATAAGCACAAACAGCAGGTTCGCGCCGATGCCCATAAATTAGCGATAAAAATGCAGCCTTTGAAGAGCTATTCACTCGCGTGCATATCCTGTCCCCATTTTGTTTCTTTCCTCTCGCGCTGTCGCTTCTCAAGTGTCGCTCGATCAGCCTTTGGCCTGAATTCTTTCCAGCTCTGTTGTATTCCGATGCTGTTACTTTTGGTTACTTTAGAGTGGATAACAATGAGATTCTTGCAAGATGTATAGGAAATTGTCTGCATTTTACGGAGAGTTATTCTTAATTGATAGAAATGAAATAAATAGTTAAGTGCGAGAACAAGTTGCACAGTTTACTTCTAATGTTACCGATGCGTCTATGATACGTTGAAAGTAATAATCATTCATCAAACTGGGACTTTGAATTCTTTAAATGTTTTATTTTCTTTTTTTTTCTTACACTGTCATCGGTTTGATAATTGTTGAAAAAGGAATATCTCAGGATAGGAATTTTAAATAATCTATCACTATCCTGTAATTTATAAATGCAGATTATAAAAATTTATAATCAGTTCCATTTTTATAAAATTATTATTATTACCTAAAGTAGTGCAGCCTAAAATTTTTTTCTCATTCCAGAACAGAATCTGCACAGATTTTATGTCCCTTAAAAAATTTGTCATATATCGAATATATCTTTACCTTATATAATAATATTCGTTTCAACATTATTGTCTTATAAATCTCACTACTCCTTGACGAAGTACCTTTATCACCGGTTGCGTTAGTAGAATCAGGCGCTCGTAGTCAGACAACCAAGCCTCAATGAAACGCAGGCGCGAGTATTAATTCCCAGCGTATTAATACGACAAAACTTGAACGAACAACCTAATGCGAAAAAAGCATAAAAACATCATCATACACGTTCGACTGTCTATGGTGTTTACAATCGGTAATTCGCAAAAAAGGGACATGGTGGCAAGTTATCGGTTGGCGAAACAAAGCGGTAGAGGGTCCCGCAGGCCAAAGTTATTATTCGCGTATCGCGGAAATCGTTTCATTATCCGCTCGCGGAGCGGTAATCGCGTATTGTGTGCTAAATGCGCGTAACATGGCCAGAGAACCCCCTGCGGAGACTTGGCGAGAGCCGATTCCATTCTGGCTGGAGGTTGTTCGACAGAGCGGCGCCAACCGGTTGCCGCGGCAGCTGGCTTCCTTCCATCGATCTGGTCTTCGACTACGAGAATCGATCGTGGGTGAGCGTCGCGACGCTCTAGAACACTGGACCATCGTCCCCGTGAGCACACACCGATCTGCGAAACATTTTCGAGGAGACACAATTGTTTCATTCGAGAGCTATTTAATAATTGTAATTTAATACATATAAGCATTTGATCATTTGTTGTAGAGAGACATACATTTTGAAATTTCATCAATACCGTAATGAAACGATTACTGTAACGATTGCTTCGTAGCGAAATTAAGTAGAAGTAATCTGAAAATGTTTACAGAAATTACAAGACATTTTTTATACACTTATATATTTAACTAAAAATTATTGCACGAGAAATAGCCATGTTTTAACATACAGCATGAGTGTTAAATATGACTCGTCTGAATATTGATATTATTAATATATATGTAATTAATATTTAAATATATATGTTTACTGTAGCTTGTAATTTCTATACCTATATTTTCAGAATCAGGTCGTGCCTCGTGATGCTGTCAACGAAATTTCTAAATATTTCAAACAACACGTACAATATATTCAAAATCTCAAAGACTTAGTTTCTTAGTCTATATGTATCAATAAATGTATTTCGAAACAAGAACACTTCTCGAGTGGTCTGGAACGGCTACGCAACACCGTCTTTGCTTTGTTCCTTTTTTTCTTTCTTTTCTCTCCTCTTTTTGTTTCTTTCTTCCGGTTTGTTCGCTGTCGTTCGTGGCTGATGCGTATTAGGATTGATTTATGCCGGTACATCTAGTGGGCGGTCATCGACAAAATGTTGTGGGACGTATTGTCGATGCTGTGTATGACTGGTATGATTTGTGTCGAGAGTGTAGTGGGTGAGATTGATCTTGAGCTCGGTCTTGAATTGCTGAATACGCGGCGGATAATACTCAGCGGTGTACAACAGTGGTGTCTTGCGTTGTAATGCGAGTGTAGGAAGAGAGTTTCACTCAGCATCAGTCGTGCGTTCTGTGATTCTTCTGACGTTGATTTCACAAAAACTGAATACAAAACCTTGACGAAATTTGCTTTTCATTCCCCTAGAGAAAGTGAAATTCTAAGAAAAAGATTTTTCAGAAACTAGTATGTTCAAAGATACAAAAACACATTGGATATTTCTTACCAAATTTTTAAATTTTCTTTCTTTAACTTGCAGAGAAGTTCGCGCTCTACTAACGCAATTATAGGGTTGCTCGATATAATTTTTTTATAATTGTATCGATTGAAACAACTCGACAATATATCGAATTTGAGCTGGTACGCGAGGCAATGGTGAGAGATCCGTCAAATGTAAAATCAACTGATTGCATCATGCCGCCTCCGCCGCTGATGCAGCAGGAGGAAAAAATTCTTCGAAAACTAGTCATAGCGCGCATGCATCGATCGCAGAAACGATCGCGGACGTTCGACACGCGGAGGATATCGATGATGCAACGACACTTATCCAAGGTATCCCAACCGAGGACGTCATTTGCCGTGAAATCGGAAATACTTGCTTCATCGTCAAATTCAAATTCAAACAAACGACCCCGATGTGGGAAGTGGTTCGATTGCGCGTGGTAAAACGTAACATTTATTTCGATAAAATCGCGAAACAATCGGCAGGAAATCGACCAACGGGTGTTAATAACCTTGGCCTGTGAATTCAAGCTGTTCGAAAAATGTTCCTTGCAACTTTGCACGATTGTTACGAAGATAGAGTTGCGAGACTGGGTTTCCGGCGATCGTTTTAATATCAATCTATTCCTGACTGAAATACTTTCCTCCGGGGAAACTTGGTACGAGGTTGACATTGTTAGTTGATTTGGATTTTTTAATTTTCCTCTTCTTCGTCAATTAGGTATTTACGGTCCTGTCAAAATTATCGGTGGAATTTTGTATTTCTTGGAGAAGATTATAGAGTTTGATATTTAATAAGGATTTTTTTTTTAAATCGAAAATATAAGCATCGTGAGATGAGATTGCCCGCAGTGACTTTGTGTTGCATATATCGTTTCCGTAAGAAGGGATCTTTTTTAAGAATATTTATTTATTTTATTATATTTTATAATTAGCAACACGTATTATTTATAACAATTAATGAAACAAGAATTTCCTTTGTTATTTTTTGAAGTGATCAGTATTTAACTTGTTTACGTTTAAAACTGTATAATTGATCGTCGTGACAATAAATTAAGTAAGGGCTGTCAATTTATGCACAGAAAATTTATAGCCAGGTATTGAACGTAATTTACTGCATTTAGTTGGTAATTTTTCTTGCATTCCTGGAATAAGTCAGAATGTGGGATATTGTTGATACGTTGCATATTGTTGCATAATATTTCAGAGAGTACATAAAATATTATATGTAGAAATAGATGTGAAGCTTAATTAGGAAAAATTTTGATTTTACTACTTAGATTCGCTTATAGTGCGTACTACTGTGTCTGCGCACAAGGCGCTGAATCTACTAGTTAACGTTCGCGGTCAATAGAAAAACAAATTCTATTCTTTTGTGTCTTTTTCATCTGACATTTGAAAATAGTTCGATTCTTTTACGACTCATATTATCTTGTCTGTGCTAATTCACTTGATCTACTAACTAAAGTTAACGATTAGCGTTAAATAAGCTGTATTAAATAAATTATATTTCTCTTGGTTCTTTTAAGTGAAATTTGACTCCATCTATTAATTCTTGTAAATATATCATGCACTTTAGATTATATGAAATAAAACTTTGAGTAATTAAAAAAAATTAATTTAAAAAAAAATCTATTCTTTACATCATGTGAATTGTAATGTGGAGCGTCCCAAAAGGTTCAAGAATAGAAATCTCCTAAAAATCACTACGAAATATTTCTAAACATTAAAAAATCCTAACGGAGAGGATTTTTAAATAAGTTAATAGCGTACTATTCACGACGAAACGAATGGATTAGTTTCCACATTACAACGTACAATGCCCATCATATAGCTTTTTTCACTTCAAAATCGTTCGATTCCATGCCTTTCGTTCAAGCAGCAACGTCTCGTCCATCCTTGTTTCGTGGCTATAAAGCTTAGGTAACCGTGCGGCACGCATGATTTTCTAGCTAATTCACGACAACGAATAGGAGAAGCATGAAAGCAACTGGCGTACACAATTTATTCATCTCGGTCTTGGCCATCCACAATCGCCTGCTCGGCAATCATACTTGCATCAGATGAATAACATTCACATCTCGATTCCAAGTAACGACAATAAACGTTAAACAATTCCCCCAAGTAGTTAAGTTCCTTTGCTCGCCATTTTTCCACTGAAGAATCTAAAATATCCAATTTAATTTTCTTTCTAGTTTCCTTTTCTATTTTATCTTTTCACGCTCCAATTTTCTCATGTGATTTTCTGAAAACCTTACCTCGTGTAATTCACATAAAGTTTCCAAAGTTTCCCTCGCGCTACGTTGCCAACATTGCAGGTTAAAGTTTCCACGCTGGTACTATCCTAGAACAGGTCGAAAAGGAAAAAAACAAAGACACTACGAAAGAAACGGAGGAACGCGCAACAGACGAAGCGAGAAAAGAAGCGAGTAGGCCGTAAATCGTTCGGTTCGTTGAATTAATCGATTGGTAAATAGCAGTTTGATTGCACGACACGTTTGTTAATGAATTCGCATAATACCTGGCCCCGGCGGTCGCCAGCTTTCTCAGCTTTCGTCCTGGATCTCTTTTTCCGTCGGCAAGTGACGTACGAGCAACGACGACGATCCTTTTTCTTTGCCCTTTTCGTACCGAGCGAGCGTCTAAACGATATCCGGTGACCCCGCGTGTTCGTTTCTTGCCACCGCCGATCGGACGTTCTTCAAGATTTATGGAACGACCACGAGCACAGTGACGTTTGATGTTTTGCCGGACGAACAGCGAAAATGTCTCGCGAGAGAGGGACGATTCCTCTCGGGGGACTTGCGCGACGACTTTTGACAGGAAGTTGAACTTCTCGCGTGGAATGTAACATAAGCAAGAGAACGTGATTTCGATCGGTTTCGTTCGGTATGGGGGAATCGTGTAACGTGGCGTACATTTTGTCCTTCCAATGTTTATTCGAGCGTCGAATATTTTAGAAAATTTATTTTAGAAATTTTATTCGTGAAATTTCCATCGGAAATTAAAGTTAAAGTAAGACAGATGCAGAATCTTTTATTTTTGCGAAATGTCATTTAAATCTCTAGAAACACACTGTTCTAGATCTACAAAAATTATAAATTAAATTACATTTTAAAGTACATTTTGTCCTTCCAATGTTTATTCGAGCGTCGAATATTTTAGAAAATTTATTTTAGAAATTTTATTCGTGAAATTTCCATCGGAAATTAAAGTTAAAGTAAGACAGATGCAGAATCTTTTATTTTTGCGAAATGTCATTTAAATCTCTAGAAACACACTGTTCTAGATCTACAAAAATTATAAATTGGTCATTTCGACTATTTTGGTAGTTTTAGTGTTGAAAATGGTATGAAAAGAGAATATATAATACACAAATAACATTGTACAAGTGTTGGAGATGATCGTTTCTTCTGTACATTTACTATTTTGCACTTCTAAACCCACGAATCTGCTAATACAAGTTTTTAATATATTATATTCTAAGAGATGCTAATTAAAGAACACATTATTAAAAATACGTTAAATCAAATTACGTTATATTTATAAATCAAATAAAAGTAGAATGTATAAATATAAAGTTACACGGTAAAGTTATACGATGAAGATGATCGTTTCTTCAGTATATTTGCCTCCTCGTACTTCCAAACTCGGTAGGTAAACCTGAAGCCCTCATTATCCGAACAATATGTCAAAAACAATCACATGCTAATTGAAGAGCACTCTATTCACGAATTCCCGCGGAGCGAACCCTTTCTTCTGACGGCCGGTCATTGAACCGGTCTTGGAAACTCGCGGGCCAGGTCTCTCGAAATCTGAAACAATCAAGACCGGCCCGTGGAGGAAAGGATTCCATTTCCAATCGTCGCCGCGGGATTGCGTAACCTTGACGAATCGTCCAGAGAGGGAGTGTGTTTCAGTGTGTATGAAGTCAGGGTAAAACGAAGGGACACAAAGAGCTCCCTTTCACGTTTTTCACGTTGGCGACTCGCGCTAATTGGCTTCCACGGAACACGTAATGAAACGTAAATATTTTCCGTCCGTCTGCCCCTGTCTGTTCCTGTCTCCCAACTTTCTCCCCCCTCTCTCTCTCTCTCTCTCTCTCTCTCT